ATCAAGTTAAGCCAAGCCGAACACGCAAGCCCGAGCCCAAGCCAAATCTCAAGGCTGAAACCGACGGACCGTGTCCCGTGTCCCCCTCCGTATCCCCTCGGGCTTGAGTTTCGGCTTGGGCTTGCGTGTTCGGCTTGGCTTAACTTGGCATAACATAGGAGGCCTGTAGCCCGCTGGTCCCCGGTCACACTCATCCCCGCGTCGCTCGCGGCCGGTCGGTGCCAATGAGCGACCAGCGGAGGGAAGTCTTTCTGTTCCTCATCGCTGTGAGTGTGAAAAACAACTAACACCCACGGCGCCGTCTCGCGAAACATGACAAAACGTCGCGCAAAAGATGCTTGAAACCGGAAAGGGCGGGGAGCGGTGACGACACATCAATTTACCAGCGTCTCCGGTGACCCGGGGTGTGGGAGTTGGAGGGGGTCAACAACTGTCTGCCGCAACGGAGACTTATCCGAGCGACATCGTGTCGGAAGGAACGATTGGCAGGTCTATTTGCGTGCCGAGAGCGTGCACGCTGCTACCCGCCGGCGGAACACATACCCTTCCGCAGAGGAGTCACGAGAAGAACCTAAAAATTTTTCAATTCTTAACGAAGATAGTACGAGCTACCCTTTCTCGGACCCAACAAAACATTTCTAAATATGGGAGGAAATTAGAAGACACCCCTACTATACAATGTGCATATCTCCTGCATAGATTCTTGATTGAGATTTTTCTTTGTTCACATAGCCATAATGTTATAAATATGAGAACGAAAATTCGGCTATTGATTTGACACAAACACGGCAGAGATCCTTCTCCACCGTGAACAGCTACAGCGGCTAGACCAGCTTTGGTGACAGAGTGTGTGTGAGTGAGCGTCAAGGCCACGGCCTCGCCCTCCTCCTCCAAAAGTGGAGAAAGTCTGGCCCTGACCACAGCCCCGGATCGGTTTTCCGTGGAAAAAGAAACAGGAGACCTTCGCAGACCTTCGGCGACCTTTTCGCACCGGCATGAGAGACATTTAAGGGAGGGGTGGGCAGTGTGTGACATACTTAGGCATTTGGCTATAACCAAGGTGGCTATAACAGTCAAGCTATGTAAAAATTTTGGGTGAAGTGGACGCAAAAGGATAGATTGGACCCTCTCACAGCCGTTACACCTCCCCAACCACGGATTTCTTGATTGTTGGCTGAGCTAAATTGAAATTTGAATTGAACTTTAACTTTAAATGCTCAGCCCTGTGAGATAGCGCCACGGGAGGCAGACGGGAAGCTGGCGTGAGGCGCCAGACGTGAGGCGTGAGACGTGAGAAGTGAACAGGCTTGCCAACCAAAATCGCGAAAACATACCAATGACAAAGGACATAACTAAGTTGTAATACAAAGAAAAGAAAGTATTGGTGTGAAATATTTTCGCAAATTTAAAAAGATTCAGTTTTTAAGAAATTTAAAATAAAAAGTTCCCACAACTCAAAATTGGTTGGCTAGTTAAAGATGTTGGTAAAACTGATTTTGAGATAGGTCAAGGTTATGGTCAGCAAAACAATAGTTTTATTTTCTGTGTAGTTGTGTCAATTGTGTCAAACTTTGTTTAGGGACTATCCCTCCAAGAAAAATCAAAATGTTAATTAGGGAAGTGTGAACATTGTGGAGTTTGATAGATCGTAGCCTGGAATAAAGCATAATATGCTTGAATCATTCTCTGAAAACCCAGCCATTGCAAGTAAGTTTCACATTTAATCGCCCGGCTAAAATATATGTTAAGTTTTTTGAACACATGCGTGCTCTCATCAAGCTTTGG